ATAGCGAAATATAGTTGTCAAGTCGCCACCGATGGAGTGACTTGCATAGCCGTCAAATGGTTCGTGAACTTTCAGATTAAATGGTCGTTGGCCACTTGGGTTGACTTGTTGCCTTTGGCCTAGGATAACATTTTCGACCTTCTATGCGGGGCAAGTTGAAAAACAAGCTATAGTTAGTTTCAATTTCAAAAAGATAAAAATAATAAAGTAGCTCACCATGGACCGGGTGGATTTTTGTTGTGTTTGTGCAGTTCGTTTTTGAGCCCATGCGTAGATGATTCTTGGCTTGGGCGGCCTATTCGCTGGCCAATATTGGGCCGGCTGAACGATCTAGCAAGACTGGCACCGGTGGCAACCAAACACGCGGCTAGGGTTCACAGCGAGACGCTGAATTCAGATCATCAGAAGATGTTGATGCTCCACGAAGCGAAGGCAGAACCATGTGAGCGATATATAGAGTACAGACCGGCAGTCTTTTGGTGTTTCAAGTGGGATCCGAGGCCCTTTGATTTGATGTGTGAATCCAGACAAATAATAATAAGCATCAGCTAGATATTTTAATTTCAAACCACAGTATGTATGCACTTGTCGTTTATCTATATCTAAACCTAATAATAAAGAGACAAAATTTTAGCCCATTTTTTTGTCCATCCATTTCTTTGGTCCATCTTCCTTTAGCTACCGGACAATGAAGAGTTTCTCCCGTTCAATCTTATATATATAACCCGTGCTCATACGACTTATAATAGCTCTTGTCTATAGCGATACGGGGTCCAATTCTAATATATACAACAACCTTAAGGTAATATGAATAGCTAGAAATCATAATCCAAATAGATCTCTCCGATCCTAAATCTGAATAGGAAGTTTAGTCGAAATAGAAAAGGAATAATAATCTTCTTCTATCTATATCTAAATATATACCTCTATCCCTAATAATAAAAAGACAAAAAAATTTGTCTTTTTTTCATCCAGCCCATTCAATTTGGCCCAACCGTCCGATCCATCCGGCCCACTCGCTCCCATGCAGCGCACCTCATGGGATTTACCACACTTCGCTCGGATTATATATATACTAGTGGACAGGCACGTGCGACACACACGTGTTCATGGTTGTAATAGGTAAGGCTTCTCTATCTGTGACTCCTACATCTGACAAGTGATTTCCTTTCTTTGGCGCTTAATCGTTCCACACCTTTAAGCACTGAATTATTTCATGATTGATTTTATTTTTAAGAAAAATTCATATAATATAGGATATTTAAAGTTTTGATTTATAAACATTTATTTTAATGACATATTGTCACTGTTTGTGTTAGGCAACATTGTATATAGCAGCTCAACGAGGCAGTACACGACATATATGTATCATTCTTTTCATAAATTATATCATCGTTTTTTAGACGCTCAAGATATTGAAATGTTAAACCTTGCTGCTACCAACAGAAAAGGTTCTCGACTTTGACAATTATGTTAATCACCTAATATCCATTAGAAAAAGTATAATTAAATACTTTAGTTGACAAAATAATTTTCTACTTAATAGTGATTTAAAAATAAGTGATTTATTGACACACACACACACAAACAATTTTTGTTTTTCTTTTCATTCCTTTGAGCTTTAAATAGAACATGTGCACCTTTGGCACTCACGCCTATTTGGTTTTACACGTAACACATCACATGTAATTTTAAATCAAATCAAACACATTTTACTATGTATCAAATCACACTTTTCAAAAATATATATAAAAAGAGAGAATATGTGCCTATAATAAGATTACAATATCATTGAATTCTACTGTAATGAATAAATTTCATTCTACCTCATTTAGACTCATACTCCAAAGCTGCTATAAAATAGGCCACATGATATTACAAACACTGCCATAGCAACGGATGCTAGTGTATTCTTATATATGTAGCTTGAATACCATTATCTTTTCACAGGCTTGTTGCAGGGGAAACTTCTTCAAGATTACCTAAAGCCATTGCTTTAAGAATCCAAGCCAAGAATGCTTTCAAACAGGGACTGTTCGGTGACTTTGTCACATAATCCAGATTCACAAGAGACTGCATAAAACCTCCAAAAACTTTAGCATCAAATTCCAATTGAAATCAATTTTTTTTGTTAGTAGCGTTGGACTCAAAACCAAGCTTACACATGAGACAAGGCCTTACAGCTTAGAGAAAATTAAGGAAGAATGTAACTATTCAGTAGCTACAAACGGACGTACCTGATAGACCATTCTGTTAACACCTGGTTTTATCTTTGATGCTAATATTGCTTTCCCCTCCACAAGAAACATTTGACAGTTTCCTAAGAAATTTTGATTTAAAAACTTCAAGGCAAATTTAATAAGTACTTGAAAAATAACCTCACTTAGAGATATATGGGTGCTTAAAGAATTTATAACATGAAGTCCTTGAAATAGCTAGAGGCAAGACTCAACATGAATAATTAACATTATATTCCACTCGGTGACATGTTGATTGTAATATGCAGTAAGAGTGTTCAATGTGTCACAGTAGTTTGACAAACTCCTTGCACATTCAGAGCACCCTCCTAACTGCAAATAAAAATGGGAAACTTCATGCTTTTGGAAGAGTAGGATAGTTTTATTCATTGACTCCAAAAAGAATGGTCAGATACAATTTTACTTTGTGGGTCGCAGGTTTGACTGCTTGACCAGTCCAGAGGGTAAACTTTTGCTGACAGCAACCTTAATGTAGATTAAGCATGGTTGCACCTTCACTTATCCCAGTGAAAAGAAGAGAATCATCCTCCTGGGGAGCGAGCTTAGAATATATGCAAAAAAGAAGATCGCCAAGCTTGACTTCACATTGTATGCTGACATGAAGATTTGTGAACTGGTTTTTTATTTTTTTTCCTTTTATTGGCTTTACTTGTTTTTTTGTATCTATTCTCGTCTCCTTTCCTTACCCACTAATCGAGCACAAGCAAAATTTGCAACAGATTGAAACAACACGAGACATGGCTGCATCAACCAATTTCCGATCAAACGGATTATTTTGCTGAAGGTGATTAGTTTAAAGAGCTTCACCGACAAATAAAGATTGTGTGGCGATGCTAAATGATTGGAGCAAATTCGGTAGTGGCAATACTTTCGACATTGTAGAGGATGACGGCGTTGAGGAACATGGTGGGACTGGGGTGGATTCCCTCTGATGCTGGTGGCGGAGAGGCTACCAACAGGAGTTACCTGACCTGAACATCAAAGCCATTAGCCTTTTTTTTTCCTTAATTTGCTATCCAAAGACAAATGCATCAATTATATTCCTTCATGTAACTGGATAAATAAGTTGGAGAATCCGAACACATCCCATATATTCAAATTAACTTATCAATAACCCAAAGAAACTGTTTTCTATCAAACAGAATACATGCCTCTGCAACAAATTTAGTTAGCCAATCGACGTAGTCAGAGAAACGTTAGTTGTTCATCGGTATGGTGTATATCTGGTAGCTTAACCATATTTAAGCTTGTTCGCTGATTGCTCAAAATCTAAAATAAGCAGAGAATAAATAGGCTCAAGGAGGGTAGAGGGTTAAGCTAATTAGGTGCTTGGAGTTGCTGTCCGACTGCTGAATGACATGCAATTCAGAAAATGTTCATCAGCACTACATTCACAGTTTCGGGACCATCTGCATCTCCACGATTTCACACAGCGCAAAGGGAAGGACAAGGTCACCCAAAATTCAAATGAAAGCAGATCAAAGCACACCGAACTGCAGATATGGATCTACTGAAGGATTATGGGTATGCACATATACGGAAGATAATATTTGTAAGGGATCATAGTTAGTACCACTAATTAATTTGATCAGATCCGAACACAAATTGGCACACCATAAAGGGAAGAGAAGGGGTGGGCATACTTGTTGGTTGCTCGTCGAGGATCGCCTGGGTTGCAGCGGTTATACTGATATTTTACTGGTTATCAGTTGGACCATGCACGTCCCATACTGATATTAATTTGTCTATAAATATTTAGCAATGGTTATACTGATATTTTACTGGTTATCAGTTGGACCATATTGGATGGCCATGCTTTGATTTTCTTTGGTTGCTACTTCTGCAAGAACAATCAGTAAATGCTGGATGGATATAATGAAGTCATGAAGTAAGTTTATTTAGTGGAGTATCGTGTCTTAGATGCTCAAATTGCTCGTATGTGTCTTAGAAAAGCTTCCTACTGAATTGAGACATACACGTCATAGGAATATTATTCCTTATCAAGAAGTACTTCCCTAATTTGGCTCTTCAATTATATGTACATATATGTTGTGCAAGCTGATACTTATTGGAGTTTAACGTTTGATAACATTTTTTTCTTTCCGTTGCAACGCATGGACATATTTCCTATAGAGCCCACCAACAACGACTTCAGAGAGTCGTTTGCATGTACATTTCATCCAATGGACACAGGAAGGGAGAAAGTTGTCTGAGAGACGACTGAGCACAGGAGTGTTCGTGCGAACCAGCCGGGCACCAACTGACAAGCAGATAGACTCGAGTTGGTAGCTAGCTCTCCACTCTCTTGATCACTCCACACTCCACCTTTGCTGCGCGCGGGGCAGGGGCTGTGTCTGTGTGCGCTTCCTCCGATCCGGCCGCAATCCGCGAGCAGCCCATGTGCCACCGCCGAGGCACTGGCAGATCGAGTGCCGTCCGGCGCGGTGTGGACGCAAGCTCACGAGCTCACTCACATGCGCTGCGTGCTCGCATCGCACGGGCGTTGGCATGCGTACGTGAATCCCATTCCCACAGGTAGCCACAGGGCGGGCCACAGGGCACGGACATACATGAGCACCCCATCAATCACTAGTCACTCGGTCTCGTGCCCGTGCCCCCGCCACCTGCGCTGTCCCCGTCGCCACCCACTTACCACGTTCACGCACACTGCTGACCCAATACATATGCACGGATAAATAGCCCCAAGCCACACACGCATCTGCAACTCCAAGCAAAGGTGCCATGGCGGAACCAACAACAGCGCTCCTCCTCCGTCTCCTGTTCCTCCTCGCCCTCTCCGCCTCCGTGGCCGCCGCGACGGCATCGACATCGGCATCGGCACCAGCGCGTGCTGCAGCGACGATAAGGACGGCGACGGGGTGCCGGCGCGGCGACCTGGTGGTGCGTCAGCGCGCGACGGGGCGCGTGGTGGAGGGGAAGCCCGAGTACGCGGTGGAGGTGCGGAACGCGTGCCGCTGCGCGCAGTCCCGCGTGCTGCTGCGCTGCTATGGGCTCAGCAGCGTGGAGGCCGTGGACCCGCGCGCCATCCGCGCCGTCGACGGCGAGCGCTGCCTGCTCCGCGGCGGCCGGGCGCTGCCGCCGCGCGGGGGCGCCGTGCGCTTCACCTACGCCTGGATGACGCCGCAGGACTTCCCGCTCGTCAGCGCGCACCCGCACTGCTAGTGCTAGTACCTTCATTAGCTACTGGGGTCCTTGTTTGCTATTCCTAATTACTACAGTTCCTACGTACTGATTCACTCAGCAATGGAGATTGTTGGCCTGAATTTTTCTTTTCGATTGAGTTGCAAGTGTAATTAATTGAACCAGCTTGATTTAGCTTGGATGGATACGCGCATTCTGTGTTAGGCAGGTTTGGTGTGATTTACAGTAGTAGCTAGCTACAGGGCTGGTCCGCTCGTACTAAAGCCAGCTGATAAATCGGATAAAACTGTTAAGTTAAACCAACAGACGGGGGCGTTGCTGGGTTGTTGCTTTTCCACGATTCCACTGTCCCTCTGGGACTGGGTGATGAATCATGAATCTGCAAGAGGAAGAAGAGGGTGATTGAATACGTGGAGGTGGAGTCACGGGACGGGAGCGAGCAACGGCAACATGGGCATGGCCTATCTACGCAGGCAGCCAGCACCCCAGCAGCCAGCAGGAAGGCGACGGGCCGACGACACGCCGCGACGCGCGTCACCTTTCATCACGTGCCCTGTCCGCCTCCTTGGTCCTCCCCATCCCCAGCCTTTTTGTCAACTCCATCTACTTTATTTCTGCGGTTCTGCCGGGTGCCTGCCAGTGCCATATGGAGATCTCCTTCTTCGTGGGCCTGTAGGACAGGCTATGCAGCGCTGAGGCCCGTGCTTGACCTGGGCCCGATGGTACGAAGACGAACACTAAATATGTGTACTAGTTTGGACCCAAATATGTGTAATAGGATTGTCAACTGATCGACGTTCCACGACGTTCCCCCCCCCTAAAAAATAGAGCGCAAACTCTAAGATAGCGTTTAGTCGAGAGATAAGGTCCACTCAAAAAAAAAAGTTGAGAGATAAGTGGAGTGCAATGGTCTTTGGCGTGTTCGGCTGCTTGTTTTTGACTGGCTGGATGCCTTTTTTTTTGGCCGGAGCAGTGTTTCTCTCAAGAAAACCAGCATGACCAGTGAAAACCAGCATGAACAGTGAAACTTTAGTCCAGCCAAACAAGCAGCTTGTCTCTTATAGACGAGATGACTCTATTTTCTGTTTAGTTAAAGAGGCATGGGACTAGCCCGTTTTTTTTCTTCTGCCAAGTAGGATCAGCAACGAGTCAGGCGCGTGAGACAAAGGACACTCCCGGCATAGGATCATCAGTGAGTTAGGCAGGGCGATAGGCCAATCATTCCTACCGGCGTCATGGTGCCATTACACGAAGAAGCCTAGAACCACCGAATTAGGGATTATGTTTTAGCTTTCCACCGGTGGGTCTAGATGAGAGATTCATCTTGCATCCATTGTCATGCGTGCTGGCATTGAACAGATGCAGATCGGTGGCTGTCAAGAAGAGGAGGGTCCAAGGTGGTTATCAACTCCTACAGACGGCTACATCAGTAGTAGCTTTTGGGTTCAGCCTTATCAAAGAGCGAGACCAAGGTAAACACGAGAGACTCATTGAGTTTAGCAGCGGCCTCAGCAAGGACCCATTGCCAGACCTTCGTATCACTTTTGTTGTTGCCAATGCATCTCCAAACACCTTTAGTGGGGAGATGTGAGGTTCGAGTAGTGGACCTTGATAGGGATTTGAAGGGATTTTTCTTTCAACAATTGCTTCCACAATCAAATATTTCTTGTTTTGTTTCTTAGGGGGCGTGCGAGCGCACCCGTAGTTATTATCCCTCGAGGCTCCAAGTTATTTGTAGAATCGATTAGAGTCTAACTTCGTTGTCTTCTTGCCCCCAAACGTAGCCACGGGGCTTATGTTGTAATTCGCAGGCCTCACAAGGCTTATGTTTTGCCTCGTGGGGTACATAAGTCTACGAGGTCTCCATATTGCAGCCCGGGTCCTCCACTAGGTATTCTGACCAGGGTTTGGCAAAATTTGTTGGGTCGGTTTTGACGGGTTTGGTCCCTGAGCCTAGGGTGATTTGCCGAAACTGTCGGTGGATTTTATCCTCGCTATTAATCAAGTGGGAGAAACCCCTAAGTTGGAGGAAGATCCAAATTTAATTTACCTTGATGGCCGAATGCCACACTTCCGAAGTTGTTAACGAACAAATCCGAATGGAACTTGGGACCTTTCCAAGGGGTTCACGGCCATGGTCCCACATGTGGCATTCCATAGATCTAGACCTACTACTTGATAGTTCCCAACTCTTTGGATTGACTTGGGGGACGACTGCTCTCCCTCGGTGGGGAAACCTCGAGCAGTCATGGGGTGAGGACTCAAATGTGGATTGTGGTGATCGGATCGCTTGTGCATCCATCAATTGGCTAGTAGTAGGCCCACCATGGCCCATCCCTCTCAGAGGTTTTGTAGTAGTGTGAAGTGCACATGCTCTTAGCTCTATCACTAGACGATGCATTCCCGTGAATGTCCATCATATTGGACTCATCAAATGATCTGTGTATATTACCTGCTTCGATTCGAATCCAACAAAAGAAAATACATTAGGATATGGTAGAGACATTATTCATCTCGATCTGATCCACTTTTATCCCTAGGAGCACTTCGGGCAACTCTAGCTTCTTGCTACATAGTTACAGGGAGATGGAGCTAGTGAAGAAAAAATGCTGTGGCAGCTAGTCTGCCACCTACTTCTCTACATCAACCTTTTATTTTCCAATGAACAACAATAGAATTATTGTCAAAATTCTGGTGTGGAATGTGAGAGGCATCAATTCTCAAGACAAATGGGATGCCTTCAGATAAAAAATCACAGAGAGTGCTTGTCAAATTCTTTGCTTGCAGGAAACAAAGAGAAGTGTCTTTAATAGTCTATACTTGAAAAAGTTCTGCCCAAGATACATGCACTGTTTTGCCTTCTCTCCATCAAATGGAGCTCCTAGTAGCTTGATCACAATTTGGAACAACAACATTTTTACTAGCACTGTTATCCAAGTCAATGCTTATAGTATAACTATCAAGTTACAACAAAAAATTAATGGGAAATTTTTTCATCTTACAAACATTTATGGTCTAGCCTCATCACCTAAAATTCGGCCTTCATCTACTGGTTGATCACCTTGGACTACTTTGAATTTGAGGACTAGATATTAGCTAGAGATTTTAACCTCATTACATCAGTGGAAAACATAAATAAATCTAGGGGAGATATCTCTAAAATGCAATTGTTTAACAATCTTATTTTAGATCTTGACCTAGTGGATTTACCTTTCAATGGCAGAAAGTTTACCTGGAGCAACATGCAAGTGGATCCCTTACTTGTCAAGCTTGATTGGGTCTTCACATCGCTACTTGGGGGCTCTCCTACCCTACAACTTCAGCTCATACCCTCTCTAGGCCCATCCCTGATCATACCTCTTTTTTTATCTCTTTTGGAACAAATATTCCCAAAAGCACCAACTTCAGATTTGAAAACTATTGGGTTGAGAATGTTGATTTCCTGAAAAGTTGTAGGACTTCATTGGAATAGCAGTGCTTATTTGCCAACTTAGCCAGAACCCTTTTAACCAAATTCAAGCAAGTTAGAGCTGGCCGAAGAGCTTGGAGTAAAAGTCTCTCAAACCTCAGTAAAATGGTCCACGACAGTAATTGGGTCCTGCTTCTTTTGGTTGGACTAGAAGATCAGAGGCCTTTGTCCATCCTAGAATCCAACTTCTGAAGCCTAGTGAAGTCACATCTTTCAAATTTTGCTAGAAGCCAAGAGAAAATGTTGGAAATACAAAAATACAATTAGATGGGTCAATCTTGGAGATGAAAACACTAGTTTCTTTCAGGCTATGGCCACCCATAGTCACAAAAAGAAATCTCATTTCAAGTCTTACTATCTCTGAAGGAACTTTGATTACGAATCATCAATGGAAAACAAATGTTCTTTGGGGCTCCTTCAAAAGCAGACTAGGTATCAGTGACTTCTCCGACATGGTCTACAACCTAACATACCTCCTACAAGGCCATGATGTTGAGCACCTTGAGGAAGATTTCAGCATAGAAGATATTCATAATGTGACCAAAGCTCTACCAAACTGTCATTCTCTTGGACCAGATGGATTCAATGGTTTATTCATTAAAAAAATGCTCACATATCATCAAAGATGACTTCTTCAGGTTGTTTTATGATTTTTAGCCCTCCTTTAGACATCAGCAATATTAACTCCTCTCACATTGCTTTGATCCCTAAAACTCAAAAACTTGTAGCTATGGATGATTACATGCCCATCAATTTATTTCCTCAGGTGCATCACCAAACTGCTTTCAAATAGATTGCAGTCAGTCATTAAAGATTTGGTTCTTGTCAACCAATATGGTTTCATCAAAGGAAGGAACATTCAAGACTGCCTAGCTTGGGCCTTTTAGTTTCTCAACCCGTGCCATCACTCTAAGAAGAGTATTATGTTCCTCAAACTTGATTTTGAAAAGGCTTTTGATAAAGTTGAACATCAAGCCATTTTAGAGGTTCTAAAACATAAAGGCTTCCCTAATAGATTGATGAACTAGGTGACGGGTATTCTTTCTTTAGGAGCTTTCTTCTGTCCTGCCAAATGGCATACCAGGAAAGTCTTTCACCTGTAAAAGAGGGGTCCGGCAAGGAGATCATTTATCTCCACTCCTCTTTGTGCTTACTGTTGATCTGTTACAATCTATCATTAACACAGCCTAGCACCTGGGAGTCATCTCCCACCCCTTGAGTGAAGACTTTGGTTGTGACTTCCCAATTGTTCAGTATGCTGATGACACCTTGCTAATCCTGTCTGCCAAAGCCAAAGTTCTTTTCAATCTAAAGGGAATCCTTAGATCTTTCTTTGATTCCATAGGCCTTCATGTGAACTTCAATAAATCTTTTTTAGTGCCCTTAAATACCTAGAGATACTCAAGCTAAAAGAATCTGGTTGATACCTTTGGTTGCAAGATTGGTTCAATGCCTTTCACCTATTTGGGCTTACCTCTTAGCACAACCGGACCTAGCCTACAGGGATTCTCACCTGTTCTCTCCAGAATAGAGAGTAGGTTGGGAGGAATCAACAAATTCCTCTCTTACCATGGATGACTCATTTTGGTTAACTTTGTACTTTCAACTCTCCCTCCATTTTACATGTGCAACTTGCAATTACCATGTTAGGTCATCAAGCAAATTGATAGAAACAGGAAACACTGTCTTTGAAGTGGGGGTGATATCAATAGGAAATGTTCTTGCTTGGCATCCTTGGAAACAACATGTAGAACAAAATTGGAAGGGGTCCTAGGGATCACCGGTCTGAAAAATTAGAACTCAACCTTGCTTCTCAAGCACTTACATAATTTTTAAAACCATGCAGATATCCCCTGGGTATCCTTAACCTGGACAAAACTATATAGAAACATCCATGCTCCTCCTCATGCTAGGAGCCCATTTCGTTCTTTTTGGTGGAAGGACATCCTCAAACTCTCTAAATACTTTAGGTTCTTGACTCTCTGCACCCCAAACAAAGAAAATTCAGTTATGTTTTGGCATGACAATTAGAGCAATGCACCCTTGAAAAGCATCCCCCCGCTGCATTCTTTTGCTATCAAGCCAAGAGGGTCAGTAGCTCACTTCTTGGAAGCACAGATAGAAAGGGTCTTCACCCTACCCCTCTCCTCCTAGGACGCAGATCAATTAGACACTTTGCAGGATACATCATTCAAAGAAGAAACTAGAGACTTGACTTAGAAGATGAGTGGGAATATGCTTGGCAGAAAGTCCACTACTCTACAAAGAAAGCCTACTCTCACTTACAAGGTACCCTAGAATCTTAACCTACCTTCCCTTGGCTATGGTCCTCTTGCAACCTTGGAAAGCACAAATTCTTCTTTTGGTTATTGCTTAGAGATAGACTTAATATACTACAAACCTCCTGAGGAGAAACAACAAAGTGCTGGAAGATTATAACGGTGTGCTTTGTAATATTGGTCGTGAAGAAATAAACCTGCTTCTACCTTTTCTTCGAGTGTCCCTTCAGCATTTCTTATTGGAATGCCCTCAATAAGTCAATATTCACTATGATAGCGGTTGTCTACCACACCTGGACATGGTGATTCAGGCTAGAACTTCCTTCGCTAGCCCTATTTTTAGAGAATTGATGATAACTGCTTGCTGGATAGTCTAGAAAATTAGAAATGGAGTCACTTTGATAATGATAGCTTCAACTTAGGGATTTGGAAGAATATTTTTAAGGAGGACCTTGGATTGGTTTGCATCAAGGCCAAGCATAGCAGGAAACTAACCCTGCATCTGTGTCGCCGGAATTTCCAATAGGGTTCTCTTCCTTTTTGCTTTTGAGCTTTACAGGCTCCGTAACTTGTACATACCTTTTTTTCATATATATAAAAAAATTTAGGTAGGGGAGTCCTCTGCCAACGCTTCAAAAAAAGAAAAAAATGACTTCACTATCTCCCAATTTATTTGAGACAGGCAAAAAAAATACGAATAGCATTGTGAATAGTAGAGATGCATAGGAGGAACTAGACGAAGCATTGCTAAAGGGACCTAATTTATCATGCGTTCAAACGGTCAGATAGTCAGATTAGTAAAATGTCGATGTCTTGTATTTGCTGGAAAAGTAATGATCGCTCTGTTCGCTTGGCTTATAAGCCGTACTTTTTCAGCCAACGAACAATATTTTTCTCTAACAATAAATCAGCCAATAGTACTTTCAGCCATGACTTATCAGCCAAACGAACATGGCAGATGATCTCCTGCGTCTATGGAGTTGTGCGCTGTTTGATTATTAGATTTGTTGACTTGTTCTCACTCAAGTCACGATTAAAAATCATTTTGGAGTTTAGTGGAGTCTAAGGTGTCTAACGTTCTCTCCATTTTTTGAGTTCGGGCAGTTTAAAATGACATGACATGAAAATTTTCAAGAAAAAATGTGTTTCCTAATGTTATTCAATATATATACATCCATAAATACATATATATTAATTGCAATATAAAATGAATGTCAAAGTTAAATTCCGCAACGGATCAAGTGTAATTTAGTTGATTAGATTACCTGTGGTGCAATATGTCCACCACACCTCGAGTGTTCATATTTTTCTTAAATTTATTTCAAAAACAACGTTCTTTATTTAGTGATAGGTGACTCAGGGAGCACGATTTTCTATAATGATACTCTCGGTGACTTTGAAGGAGTTAGTCAATTAGAAATCAAATCTTCTAAAGCTTCACACAAATAACCAAAACTGTAATAATAATAAAATGTAATGCACATGCATGGATCTACTATTAACGGCAATCGATGTCCACGGTCAATTCACCAGCTAGGCAGATTAACCTAACAAGAAGATTTATTTGCTGATCTGTCGGTATAGTACTTTTTTGTTTAGATCATGGAACAAAGTTGTACCACTAGTAGAGAACAGACCTTTCATCTGAGACTAAAATGGGCTCTAGTCCAGGTATTTTTTGCGCCCGGGACTAGAGAGACCTTTAGTCCCGGTTGGTGTCTCCAACCGGGACTAAGGACCTTTAGTCCTGGTTAGAGACACCAACCGGGACTAAAGGTGGACCTTTACTCCTGGTTGGAGCCACCAACTGGGACTAAAAGTCCTCTAACCTTTAGTCCCGGTTGGTAATACCAACCGGAACTAAAGATAGACCCTTTAGTCTCGGTTGGTAACACCAACCCGAACTAAAAGACCCTTTAGTCTCGGTTGGTAATATCAAGCGGGACTAAAGGTCCTCCGATGGGTTAGTTCAAAAGGGAAGCATCCCATCCATTGTTAGATGTGTTGTGTAGGTGGGGTGGTAAGCTACGCGCGAGGCAATGTATGAGGTCTTGGGTTCGAATCTCACGGGACGCAGCGGTGGGAGGCATTATCTTTTTTAAAGCTGGGAGGACCTTTAGCCCCGGTTGATGTTACCCACCGGGACTAGCCCCTTTAGTCCCGGATGCTTGCTCCCGGGTGGGGAACCGGGACTAGAGGGGTTCCTCACCGGGAGTAAAGCCCGTCTCTACTATCCGGGAATATCTATCTGTGCACTTATGGTTACTTATTCCAACCAATGGATTCTCTTTTTAGACAATTAATTTTTCTCTTATTAGACAAGGAATTTTTGTTCTGGACTCTGCATGCAGGAGTTTCAGCCAACCGATTATACGAGTCTCTATGCATCAACTATGCTTAATAAAAACCTTGTTCTGCCTATCGAGACAGGTCGATTGGGAGTCAAAGCAAACCAAAGGACGAGAATCGGTCAAGTTTGGCACTCCGATCCGATCCGATCCTCCAAATATAATGGAGGTAGAATCCAGAAAGGCTCACCACTTAGCTTCACGAGCTGGGGATGGTGGAGATCCAAATAATGCTTCCAAAGGGTACTTTCGTCGATTACTGTATGGCTTCGGCGCGCGTGTTCGATCTGGTCCTCATTGGCGTGCGTGACACTTGATTTTAGCCCATCTCCGATCTAATAAGATAAGAGCAGTCACGATGTAGAAACTATCATAATTTCTATGTACATTAATTATCCTGTCACATAAGCATTTTGCTGACGTGGCAAGCGATTTATTGAGGAGAGAGAGGAGGAAATGGTTTCATAATAAGAAATTATGTCTACACGAGAACCAAGATATGAGGAGATATGATAGGTAGATGAAGGAGAGAGAAGATGTGTGATTGGACAAAAGATTATTCTGTAGAAACTATCCATTGGGAACGTAGTTTCTATATGTAGTACATCTATATGCATAGAAACTATACATGTTTTATAGTATTGGGAGTGCCCTAATATGATATCTTCGCAGGGAATTGAAAAAAGAAACACCTTGAGTACCTGGTTAAGCTTTTAATTTGAAATGGAAAAAAAACCGGCTATCGTATGTATTTTAATACTACAGGGCCGAATAGGCGAATGTGAAACAACCAATTGGTTCTGGCTTGAATGAAGACCATGAAATTTCCAAGCTATGGCGCGACAGTCACGATACGTGTTTTTTTTTCTATATATACGGCTCGTACGTCACATATATTCGCCCCTCCTTGTATGCCCTAGCTTCAGGCTTTCATGCTGCATGAGTGTACGTCCTTGCGAGAGGCTCAGTGTGTTTCCGCGGCAATACCTACAAATCACAATAAAATGGAGAAGTACGTACGCAGGAGCAGGAGTAGCACGCCTCTGCAGCGTCGTGCGGAGATGAAGGGCTTCCTGGCCAAGACCATGGAGCGGTGCTGGTCCCTCGGTGGCCGGCATCGTCCACGGCGGCCGACGACGCCACCGGGGTGCTTCGTGGTGCTGGTCGGCCCGGAGAGGGAGCGGTTCGCGGTGCGCGCCGAGTGCGCCAACCACCCGTTGTTCAGGGCGCTGCTCGACTTGGCGGAGGCCGAGTACGGCTTCCCGCGCCCTGCGGCCGACCCGCTGCTGCTGCCGTGCGCCGCCGACGAATTCCTGCGGGTGATGTCGGAGGTGGAGCGGGATCATCAGGAGCACGACGACGTAGCACGCGGGGGCGCGGCTGCGGCGGTTGCTGCTGGTGCAGCAGCACCTCTGTCGTCGTCGCCGGCGTGGAGCTTCTTCTTGAAAGGAGGTACCGCCCGTGCTGCAGGGTTCCAGAGGATGAGCCCCGGGCGCTTCTTGAATTGATTAGAGCATCCTAGCTGACAGAGCTGCGGCCGAGCAACGTGACCTGCAGCAGTTAGAAATCAGTTGAGTGCTTATTGGCTTCAAGAATTTCACTCCAATCCTGATTTATTCCTCGACTCCTCGTAATATGTGGCCGGTTGTTTGAGCGAAGGGATAAGTCTGATCCATTGTCACTTCATTCCCCGTAAGTACAAGCACAGCACTTAGCAATGTGGTCACCTCATCAAAATTTATAAGATGCATCTTTTTAGTAGGTCACCCTACCAAATATTATTTGATCTTTTTCTAATCGAGTTATTATGAGTTTTTTTAAGGTTTCCTTCCTTTTAGGTTTTTAATGGATTGGATTTGCATTTGTAGAGCCACACTTAATTAATTTCTAGGAGTTTTACATACATGCAGTATTGCTAGGATAATATTATACTCATGGAGGATAATATAATTTGCCCCGGAGTATCACGACTGGTTGGGGGCAGCATGAGAGGATAAGGGTGGGAAAAATTTTCCTCTCGCGCGCTACGCCTCTGTCCATTGCGCGCTCTTTTTTTCATCCTTCTGGGCCACGCTAACGATTGGAGCGTGCACTCGGCTGCAGAATCTTGGCTCTGGGGGCATATACTCGCGTCCCCGTTGGTATCAGCAGCTTTTCCACTTGGTGCAGTAGAAATGCAGGGGAAAGTTGAGGCGCCCGTGATGGAGTGGTGCAACTGAGAGGAGTGGTTTGCGCCGATGGGGCAAAAGTTTTATTATTGTACTACAAAACTAGATATGCTCAAAGATTTGTATATGTAATCCAAAAGTAGAAAATTTGAAATGTGGCACAGTGGTACTGCAAAGTTTGGTAGTGCAGCGTACAAAGTATGTAAAGTCATAATCCAAAGTTTGCGAAACTGGTGGCTGAAGTTTGAGTTAAGTTCCTTTGGGATATAGAAGTGCAAATTCTATAAATGTGTTGCATGAAACCTCTGAATTTAGAGTGCAAACTTTACAATTAAAATGTTTTTAGAGTTCAGTGTATGAAATTTTAGAATGTTATAGTTAAATGGCCTAGCATTTATGCTCAAAGTTTTTTTAATTACAAAGTTTTTGGTTCTTTGAAGTGCAGAAGTTTTGGATGATGGAAATACAAAGTTTTTAATTTTCTAGTTCAAAGTTTGTTGATTCAAAGGAAAAGCATTTTATTCCAACCATTGATTACATATTAAACGACGTTGTCTCTCTTGTATTTTTTCAAAATTGATTTTTGTTATTTTGTGTTCTAACCTTTTATACTTCTACTTATACATGTAAGTGAAACCACCCCCCGCCTGTTCACTACCCAAACTATTCCGAAAGAGGAAAACAAATAAACTAGAGGGAAAAAATAGTGGCCAATAATTGGACTGAATCGTCAAAAGACAAAATAATCTGACTTAGGTAGAAAACTGGACTTCTGAAGTTAAATGGGCCTTCGGTTGAAGCCAGAAAGGGGAACCGGACTCCAAAGTTCATGGGCCAAGACTTAGAATTCACGCACGAACAACTTGTTGCGCTCGCGTGCAGCTACCCCGCCATAGTGCACGAGTCGATACCCCACCGAGCACGCGTGTCGCTATCCCTCGCAGCATGCGCCTGGTGAGTAAGATTGTCGTATTGCCTGCCATTCATTCATTGACAAAAGGGAACACATGTGTGGGCCTGTGTCCGCAAGAAAGCACACATAAGTTACGTAGCCATGTGGAATTTGGAGGCATTGTGATCTTTGGCTATGCTCTATCAGGGCTAGATGGTTCTTGCACAGTACTTGTCGGTGTTTCGAGTTACCACCGAGTAAATTTCTAGTATTGCACGTCTGGCTCGGATGGTGTGCTTAGAGGACACGAGGTTTATACTGGTTCGGGCAGAAAGTCCCTACGTCCAGTTTGTCGCTGCTGCTCGTGTTACTAGTACTGAAAGTTTATAGTATGGGTTACAAACAGGCGAGAGAGGGACATGTCTCAAGTCTCTAGTGAAAGGAGTGAAAGGGTGCTGAGAACTCGGCTGCTGCTCTTGTGTGTATCTGGATCTGATCAGTTCGGGGTCGGATCAGATCCCCTTTATGGGACGCCTTGCTTTCCCTTTTATAGGCCAAGGGAAAGCATGGGTTACAGCGGAGAAAAAGAGAAGAACGAGAGAGAGGAGTCCTTCAGGATCGCCGGATCCTTCTTATCCTTCATGCGGGTCCCACGGACCCTGTAGATGTCAACAGGGACAGCTCCACATCATGGCCCTGCCCGTCACTGGTGCCATGCGTAGGCGTCATCTGCCGGTCATGGCGTTCCATTCCATCGCAGCAGACGTCGTGGTGAGCTGACGTGTCTGTCAGCGTCCGTATGGGGGTTAGGCAGAACAGCACTGGTACGCCCGATGCTGTTCCTGATGTGAATCCTTAGGTATGGCCATCGTGGCCACGGGTTACATCAGGGCATGCCGATCTCTTCCTTGGTGTTAGAGTTTTGACCTAGGCCCATACGCTTGAACCTGGAGTGGTTGGCGGCGGTATGGGTCTCCGTCGGGCGAGACAGAGCTCGCCCCCAGAGGTCGGGTGAGGCGGAGCACGAACCCAAGGGTCAGGCAAGGCAGAGCCTGTGGCCTCGGGGTCGAGCGAGGCAAAGCCCACCCCCAGAGGTCGGACGAGGCGAAGCGCAAACCCAAAGGTCGGGCGAGGCGGAGCGCAAACCCAAGGGTCGGGCGAGGCAGAGCCCATGGCCTCGGGGTCAGGCGAGGCGAAGCACAGACCCAATGGTCGGGCGAGGCGGAGCCCGTTGCCTCGGGGTCGGGCGAGATGGAGCCCGCCCCCAGAGGTCGGGCGAGGCAGAGCTTGCGCACCTGGGGGTCGGTTGGAGCAATAGTCGCGCTCTTGACTGCTCAGATGAATCAATATTGATGGTCATTAGCTCCTCCTCTTTGGGTACCCTAGTATTGGTCCCCGACAGTAGCCCCCGAGCGGATGAGGAGTAGAATACTCCTTCGGAGGCTTTTCTGAACGGGAGGACTCTGAGGGTCTTGGTCTTCTTTTGTCGCCCATGGCGTGACCTAGGGACGGTGATTCCCTTTCATCATGATCGAACCCCTCAGGGGTATAGCCATGAGATTTGGTGGGTTCAAAAAGGTCTTTTCCTGATTTCGACCCCTACGGAGGTCTGTCGTTCTGTGACCGTGCATTCGGTCTTCGTGCGAGTCCAATTTTCCTCGAGCCCTCGCCCGTAGCAGGGGTCCCGTCGAGGGTCGGCTTGTCTTTGTGATCGTCTTCCCTCAAGCGTTTTTTTCTGATAAAAATGGAGGGGCTGAGCTGTGCCATGATTTTCCTCTATGGACGAATCATGGTACTCGGTGAGCTATTAACGGGCTGGTCTGAGTGGGGCCTCGACATCCCATTCATGGGGATCCAGCTTAGGTAAGCTAGTGATCGACTCCAAATTCTCAGTGGTTAATCCATATAGTTCTCGGGTCCGTTCGACATGTCCCAAGGGCTCTCTGCCTTTCTTCGAGGAAAAACCATGGATCGTATCTGGCTGAGACTCGAACATGGGAAGGGATGCCCACAGCGCTCGTGCGCTCGGGTACTAGCCGCTAGCTGGCCTATCCCTTTCCACCCCTCACTCTAAAGGTGCCCAGAGCGGTTGTCGAACCCATCAGTGGGCCAACCTTCGAACTCCTAGGCCTAGACGAGCTGTAGGAGTGTTTTCAGCTCTGTATCCCTCTTACCTGTGACGGGTCGTGGCCCGTTCAGGGAGGCGAAACATCCTGTGAGTTTTCTGAGGGGATGGCCATAGGTTACGTGTGCACGCCCCGTGGCGAGACATGGTGACAGGTCATGGCAGGCGTGGAGATCTAGGCAGGCGGTTGGTTTCCTCGCAGCCGTCGCCCCTATAAAACCAAAGGGTTAGCCCTCTGGGTTCCATATGTTGCATCCTTGCCTCTGCAGCCACGCCGCTGCTGCATTCGCTAAGGTTTCCTACCGCATCTCCGCCATCATTGATCCCGCATCCATCACCCCCACCTCTAATGGATCCGTGGTGCCGTTCTGACATCACCTTCTAGTGCATGGAGGGCCTCGTCCATCGCGGTCTTCTCTGCACGCGGGCCTCAGCCAAGGAGTGGTTGCTGCCCGGCGATGAGAATTTGCCATCACCGCCCGATGGCTACGTGGTGTCATTTGCCCACTTCCACGAGCGTGGGCTTACGACCCCCGTCCACAAATTCCTTCGGGGGCTGCTGCACTACTATAAGATTGAGCTGCAGCATCTCAATCCCAACGGGATCCAGCACATGGCGGCGTTCATCATGCTGCGCGAGGGATTCCTGGGGATCAGCCCCCACTTCGACTTGTGGAGGCATTTCTTCGAGGTCAACCTCCAGAAGAAGAGGGAGAAAAGCGGCAAGCAGGAGCCGCACATGCCGATGGGGTTCATCGGCATCCAACTTTGGAACAATCAGGTCGGCGAGTACCCATCCATGCAACTCTCGACGTCCAATAAGGGGTGGCACTCGCAGTGGTTCTACCTCAAGAATGACATCGCCACCCCTCTGCCGGAGTTCACTGGGCACCTGATCGAAGTGGCCTCGGAGCAGTGGAGGAAGTGGGGCGTCCCGGAGAAGGACAAGAAGAAGATCCGAGACCACATCGCCGCCATCCACATCCTGAAGGAGAATGGCCTGAAGGGATTAGGCATCATTAGGGCTTACCACGCAAGGAGGGTGGCGTCGTTGATGATGCACGCACTCCCGCTATACGCGATGGCGCCTGAGGCGTCGATCAACGGAACGACGCTCGCCGAGGGAACGCTCCCCAACTTTGAGATCGCGCAACGCATCAAGGAGGTGATAGAGCCTTTGCGGGATGACATGGGTGCCGCCCTTGACTTCGTCTACCCAGTGCCGAGGCATCCTCCGATGCGGTCAGAGCCAGGCTACGTCGTCTTTGTAAGTTTCCCTTTCTCTTGCCTTCTCTTTAATTGATTTCCTGACCCCGTGATACT